CTAGTCAACTAGAATTCCGTTTATTTTCCAAGTACAACCCGCAATGGTGTGACCAGGATTTATTTTCTGAAGAGAGGGGGAGGGGGTACCAGTATAGAATGTTCAAATTAGTTATTTACGAATGAAGCTTAGCAGCGGAGAACATCCTCACTGGGTGTCGTTTCCACTGGCTTGGCTTAGCCCGTAGAACAGCTGTTGTTATTATCACTGTAGTAATACAAATATTATTATTTTAATACCGTGGTGCGGTGAGACCGTAAAATGACACAACTCAATGCTCTTTTTTTCTCTTTTAGTTGTTTTTCCGTTTGTTTTGATTTTTTTATTATTCTATTCTCTGTGTAGAGGATGTGCTGTCGAAATGAGTGCATACCTACCTATTAAATTGGGGCCACACAATATTATTATCGTCTCGGATTTTGCTGTAATAATTCCAATGTACAAACGCTGACAATCTTGGGGGACTGGTTCGTGTCCGAGCATAAAATCCACTCGCTGCTCCTTGGGACACACCTGTGTTTTATGTTAATTTTCAATCGCCTACACTTCCTTGCACCATCAGCCGCCCGGGGATTCATTGTGTGCGGGTATAAACAAAAATTGTGCCCTCTCACTCTCTCCACTGTATATAAGCATGCCCGCCTATTATAGTATGTGTCTGTGATATATATATATATATATATATATATATATATATATATATTGTCAAAATTATTTAATAGCCGTCGCTGTTACCTGCGTTTTTAGTTATACTTTATAATATTAATATAGTGCTGTTGTACAGTTTCGCCGGTTGTTTTTTTGTAGGCGAACCGAAATACAAAGTTGATGTGTTACATATTGTATATATTTATATTATATACGTTTACCAAAACGTTATTAAAATATTCGTGTTACCTGTCCCCGGTATATTTTATCGTCACCGCTTGGCTTTGTCTCGTGTTTAGTATACCTTTATAGGTTTACTATTTAGTATTTAAAATAATATAATAATAATAATATAATAAAGGACAAAAATTAAAACTATTTTGGTTTTAACCTTCAGTTTTTTATCACTTGAATAATATTATAGATAATAATATTTCGCGTTTAAAACAGTTGGATTAGGTCTATTATTAACCTTAATATGATACAATTATTATAAATACGCACTTATTTTCATAAAAAAACTCAAGTACCTATAGTAGTAAATATTTCAATTTTGACATTTCTGATTGCAAAATTGAATTGTCCGAAGAAATTGCAATAATATAAATTTATATAGCAAAAACTCTTACTTTGTAATGATTATCATTTATCACACACTTTTTATATGTTTAAGAAAAGTAATGGAAATTATTGGCGCTACCTCTGAAAGAATTTTAAATCTTCTCAAAATTTAAAATTGTTAGTATAATAAAACAATTATATATTCCTAATATTATATATGCTTTTAGATATGTGATCAAGTGCAGTATTAGGGGGAAAATACAATTTTTTAATATAAAAAACGTCGCACCTGCGTTTTACTAATATTTGCCGTTGGCATTCACTGTTCGCATAATTATTGGTAAACACTATACATTTATAATTATGTAATATTAAAGACATTGCTATGTAAAACCGTGTAAGCAAAACGGTTAAATTTCGCGGCCTAAGCCCACGGCAATAACACCGTATCGTTATTAAAAGCTTAATGATCGATATAATTTACCGGGAGTTCTAATTTAACAGGTTTTCAATTTAGTATCGTTAACTACAACCGTTTTAAACGATATGTGCGCTTGGATACATACATAATGTCCATTTTTTTTATATAGGTATACTGATACTACATAGGAATACTGGTCCCATAAGCGCACACCTACACAGAGTCTGGAGAATGTGCACCACACACGTTTTTTTAGGTAACTTAGAACGGTGATGAATTATTGACATGTCGGGTTAACATATTTAAGGGGGTTTTATTATTTCCAAAAAAACCGGGTAGTCGTTTCATTAATGAATCCGGTCCGAAGTCCCTAATAGGATTTCTCTGTAAAACAAATTCGATCCTTGCGGGGAACTCGAAACGCCGCGCGTGTACAGCTGAATTGGCCTGGTCGTTATTCGAAATTGTTTTTACTTAAAATATTATTCAAACAAAAAACTAATTCGAATTATTGTATTTGATTAAAAAAAAATTGTCGATTATTCAAATAAATTTTGTCATTCACATGTTATTTGTAATTTAATCGTATAAAAAAAAAACGTTGAATAATATTTGAATAAAGTTAATATTTATTATTTTTTATAAGAATATGGCTACAACCTAACCATATATACTTGGGTTGTGTTATATAATATATATTATGATGTAGTTGATAGTCAAGAAGACCCTTCGAGTGATCGTATATGACGGTCACAGTTGTTAACAGACTTGCACGCATAATGCACACGACCATCATTCGATTGGCCGAGGCAAGTACTTCTGTTGTGTGTATTTAAAAAATATACCTATGTATTTAAAATATACGAACGCAATGGTCAATGGCTCTGTACAGTGTATGTGTGAGTGTACTGTATATTATTATTATTATTATTATTGTACGTGCCCGGGGACGATTTACCCGACTTAAACGGATGTATAATATAATATTATACTTTCCTATACCTACTCGGTGCAAGCGTGTTTGCGCATAGCTGTTTCGAAACGAATTTTTTTTCTACTCTATTCCGACCACGCTCGTTTACAGGAAATGTCCATGTACACACAATGAGACGGACGCGCACACACACACACGATCATAGGATGTATAATAATAATATAGATTTCAAGACTTGACAACGACGAGCACTACTGGAAAAAAAAACCGACCTCTCGTTTTGTCCTCGGCCATATATTTTTCTCGGTACCGAAACGCGCGCTTACGTTTGCGAAAATTAACTATTGCGGAAAAAAATTAAGTACACGTGAAATTCAATATTCGTGTGTACGGCTGTCGAAGGCGCTTATAATATTTTTTTTAATGACAAAATTAAAACCACTATAATGTGTTACATTACGGTATAGTACCTAATATTGCTACTTTAACAGCTATGAATGTATTATATTATAAATAGTTTTTTGCCTTCTAGAAAAAAACAATTTGTTATTTGCCTCGATTAAGAAAATATAACATTGTGTTGACTGTCGATAAAAAGGAAATCAACCGATACCGGTAAAACATTATGTTTTTCTGACGGTTCATGTATTTTTTTTTTATGAAAACCATTTAATAGTTTAATTTACAAAACAAATCGTGGAAACTATACGAATGGATAAAATCAAATTCGTCGACATCGACGCCATAAAAAAAAATATATATTTTTTTTATACACCGGCTGGAGTTTATATTTAAATTTGTACCTACTATTTAATTATTTCACTAATACTAATACAATGTGAGTCGTACCTACACAATTGTGAATACAAGTCACAACAAATTAACAAACCAAAATTATGTTCTATTTACGTTTTGGTCAAATAAAAAAAAATATATATATACATATTTATAAAATATAACTGCTTAATATGCCATTTATATCAATGTAGGTACTTTCTAGTTGTTAAGACTATATTGTTATTGCTTCCAAGCACGGATTGATTTAGATGTGGCCAGTTTGTTAAGGGACTTTTACTCATCTCTGTCATAATTCTTTATTAAAAGTTTGATAACCATCATAAATATTTAATACTTAGAAGTAGTATAGTCGTTATGGTTTAAAATAAGGTGTGGAAATAAAATATTGTCAATAATAGTTTTATTCTTAATTAAAATTTAAATAAATAACTTTGGTCTTCGAGAGAAACTCATTAAAACTAATTTGTGATTTGCCTGGAAAAAATTGCATTTCCAAGTACACTTTTTGATTTATAATAATTTTCAAGTTTCTCACTTGGTGTAACATTTTTCTTATAATCATTTATTTAATATTGATAAATAGTATTTTCCATTCAATTAACCGTTGTTTGATTTGACTAAAAATATGATGTACTGAAAACATGAAAATTATTTCGGACCACCACTAACCGTTGACAGAATTTGTATTTTAAGGTATCGCTTGTGCAATGCACCTTTGCTACGGGATAGGTGCCACTGAAGAGGCTCGTTGCATACCGTGATATTATTTTATATTGTTAATTTTATTGTTTTCACACAAACCGAAAACTTTGGTGACACGTGAAGTGTGGTTTATATTTAAAAAAAAAATTGTGTGTGTTCTATTAAACTGGGCATATTAGTGTAGGTATACAAATTATTTCTTGTCCCTGTAAAGGTATTGCTTTGGGTAACGCGTGACGTCGATTAGCGAAAATATGACTTTTACTTATATGTTTAGCGGGGCCGCCGCAGAGAATAAGTGTAATTTTACCAGCTTTGCCGTTTACTGTATATTATAACAACACATAATTTATGTGCGCATCATATTACGTACTTACTGGGAGGAAGAGGGCAAATTGAAAAGAAGATTTATAAAAAAAAAACCACCGCCGTTGATAGCTGTAGTACACTGAGGGGGCCATTGCGGAATATTATATTTTATGCTGGAATGTCCGGCCCGTGTGTGTGTGTATTACAAGACTTTTCTACAATACCGACAATATAACGAGTCCACCCGGTCTTGTGTACACAATCATAAATAATAAAATATTCACACACACACGCACAAATGGCAGTGGCGGCGCGAGTCAAATATGGTCATAACAACCTGTTTCGCTTGTCCGCCAAACTTGGAACAGCTGCAGCAGCGCCAAGCTCGTGTCGTCGTCGCCGCAGCGACCGACCGTCTAATTATTATTGCAATAGAACGGTGTGTGCAGTTGTCGAAGCCCCGGGGTTAGGTTTCTTTATTTCGTTTTTTTTTTACCGCAACACGTCGTCCCCAATCTCCTTTTATATCGCCTATCATGTGTATTTATCGTTGTTTTTTTCAATACCTAAAATGTAGTAATATTTCGTTATTGTTAATTTGACCATAACTTATGCATGTTTTTTCAGACACAGCACAGAAGACATGCGGTTCCCGGCTAGAGCCGTGGCCGTCGTCGTAGCGTTGCTGTTGTGCGTGGCCGGCCAAGAGCACGACGGCCAACGGCAGACGGAAGTGGACCAATGGAAGTGTCCGGAAGTGCGAAACGTGTCGTGCGCCTGTGACTTACCGCACACGTTGCGGTGCACGGGCGGCAAGTCCACGTTCGAGACGGTGGCCGCCGCGTTGAAAAACCTCTCTGGCGCCACGTCCGTGTCTCTGCTGGACTGCACTGTCCAAAATGTGGCCTCGTTGCCGGCTCGCATGCTGGAGGGCGTGTCCTTACACGGTCTCGTGGTGTCGTCCGGCGACATAAAATCTGTGTCGGAGTCCGCGTTCGCCGGGCTCGCGTCCCCTCTGCAGGCCCTAGGTCTGCCCAACAATCAGTTGGAACGCGTGCCTAGCGCCGCTTTGGCCATCCTCATCGGCCTGGAGCGACTGGACCTTTCCCACAACCAGCTGCACACCGTCCACAACAGTTCTTTTAAGGTATGTCGGGAAGGAAACGTTGACCACATAACCTTCAAAATTCCTTCAAGCTCTCATAAGTTTCAATCACAACGCTTTTTTTTGCAAGAGTTTTAGGCCGTTTTGAAGAGTTTAAACTACTTAGCAAACGTTTTCTACTCAACACTCTAAATTGTGTACACTACTTAGGTTTTGCTAGGACTGTTTATTTACACTATTAAATTACTGTTTCAGGGTTCGCCGAATCTCACGTTTTTGGATCTGAGCAACAACTCCATCCGTTTCATCAGTCAAGACGCGTTTGTCAACTTGCCTTTTTTGAAAGTGTTGCGCCTCCAAAACAACTTGCTCACATCGGCGTCAACGTCTCATCTCCAAGGACTCCGGTCGCTCGTCGAACTGGACTTAAGTTCCAACCTGCTCTCCGGACAACTAGGCCCCAGCACGTTGCCCAGGTTACCCAAATTGCAGATCATATCATTGGCGCATAACCAACTGAACAGCGTGCGTCGCGGTTCGTTTGCTGGTCTCGAGAACATCGTATCGTTAACGTTGAGCCACAACCAAATCGACGTGCTCGAAGATCACGGGTTCAGAGCTGTGCCCACGCTGTCGCACTTGGATCTCGCTAACAACCGCATTGTGGCCGTGTCCAGTGCTTCGCTGTCGCACTTGACCAAGCTGAAGACACTCGATTTATCGCATAACTTCTTGAGGAGCCTTACTTCTGATCTCATTGCACCGTTGAAGAGCGTTCAAGACTTAAAGCTCGACGACAACGACATATCTATAATCGCCGACGGGGCTCTGAGCAGCGCCAATTACATCACGAGTCTTTCTCTGTCGGGTAAGCGAACAATCATCGTTTTACACTAAAAATATATTGCAGTGCACTGTTGTTCAAACGTTAACGATTGAACGAAATTTGTTTTCCAGACAATCCGTTGAACTGTGACTGCAGCTTGTTGTACTTTGCCGGCTGGCTGTCCAATCACAGTTCGGTGTCCACAGCCAGCGATACGGCGGTGTGCGCCACGCCTCCAACGCTGGAAAACGGTTTGCTCAAGGATTTGACGTTAACGAAATTAGTGTGCGGTGGCGAGGACAGCGTGCCACCGCCGGAAGGTCCGCTGACCATGTTGCAATCATATTCCGGTATGAAAATATCGCTGCGTTCCTACCAGTTCGACGGGATGCGCATCAGTCTCGGATGGTCGGTAAATGCGCCGGTGGTGTCGTACTACTGCAAGGCCCTGGTAATATACGAACACGTGGACAATCACGAGGTGCTGCTGGACTCTAAGCCAGTGCGGTGCAACTCGTCGCAGTTGCCAGACGCTAAAAGTTTGACGCTGTCTCTGTCCGCCAGCGAACTAGAACCGGCACACACTTACAGGTCAGTATTGGTGGCTTCGGTGCGGCGCCGAGAAGTTTTCAACCCCCCCTCCCTCCTCTTGTACTCTTGATTTGAATACATTTTTTTTCCAGGTACTGTCTGGTGTTAATCGAAGGCTACGCCGACGAATCGGACGAGATGGCCATGGTGTTGGGCTGCAGCGACAACGTAGCTCTGGTCCCCAACGCCAATCAACTGCACCACGCTGGCAACGGTCGACTCGAACCCAACATCCAAAATATCACCTCGTCGTTCATGTCGCCTTCGTCGCTGTTCGTCGCGGTTCACCTGCAGCTGCTACAGACCTCTCACGCGGACTCTGGCAAGTGCACCATCACGTTGTCCGTGTACAGCCTGGCCAAACCAGTGGCTCGGCACCGGTTGAACTGCACGGCGCCTTGGACGACAGTCACGGATTTGCCGGCCGAAAAATCCTATCAGATATGCGCCAGCGTCGGCAACAAGTTCCCAGACGACGACGAGGACACCATGATTTGTACTTCGGTGGACAGTCCGGCCTCTCGCGATTGGTTGGCCGGTCTGCTGAATGCCAAGAGTTACGCTTTCCTGTTGTCGGCCACGTGCACGGCCACCGTTTTCCTGTTTGTGTTGCTGGCTTACAAGACCGCGTGTAAAGCGTGTAAGAAGCCCGACAACACCAACGTCCTTCAGACCCACCAGTGTTTCCTGCCCGTGCCGCCTATAGACAACGGCGCCCAAAGGCCCAGGTACGTGAAACTGCAGGCCACCACCGTGCTGTGACCTAGAACCCCCGCAAACGTACCTTCGTAACTCGACGAACAGCGAGAGGATGTTGCCGAAAATGCTGGACACTTCGGATTTCCGAAGCCAGTGCTAGACGTCTCTATTCTGGTATAGGTATGACATAAAAAATTCTGAGAATTTATGAGTCTCAGAACGTCGTGGGTGGTGTGACTTACAGTACGTCAGTGTGACAGAGAAAACAGACATTACTACACCAGTGTCAAAACCAACACCCTGTTAATACTAAAATAGTATATTCATACATTTTTTGCTTGTTTATGAATGAATATTGTTATTTTTGTTTCATTTTTTTTTTATATATATATTATTTGTAACGAACCACTATGTGGTTGGAATTATAATAATTACAAGTCTTGATCGATATCGATTTATCTTATCAATTACAATAATAATTATTGATATTAAATTTATATCATATAATATTATTGACTTATTATAGGTAGGTCTTTATACAAGTCTTTAAAGAGAGATTATTTTATTAAAAAATGTAACTAAAAACTAGAAAAAAAATGTATCAAATGTGCCATATTGTTAGTAAGAATTAATAATAATAATCGTAACATTATTAACTTGTAAGTTTAAGAGTATTATTTATGTTTGTTATTGAGGTTTTAGGCCCAGTTAAAATAATGTTATAAGGTTATAAATATTATTTATTATTTATTACCTGACAATTCGATAGGGTTTCGAATCTAAGATTTATCAACATAACATACAATAGTTAATTATTAAAAAAAAGTTGTTTAATTTACATTAAAATGGTTGATAAATCTAACATACATTTTAAGCAATAAATCAATTACAAGTTATCTCAGACTTTTATTTACATTTTTTATAGTAATCATAACCTTTAATTTTATATTAACTTAGTCATAATTTATTTTTATCTACGAAAAATGGTATTTTAAGATATTATAAGACTGAAATATAAACTAACATCTCTAACAATGTTTTACTAATTAAATATTACGAGCTACAATTCGATTTGTGACTTATATTATATGCTATTTTTTAAGGCACGTTTTATTGCTAAATTATTGCTAATATTTGTAGGCCTTCTATTTCTATTTCTTAAGTTTCGATATTGTACAGCACTTTTGTACTAGGTACGTGATAATATTGTTTTAGTGTTATTTTGTAAGTATTCAATATTAACATTATTTTACAAAATGGTGTTTGAGTGAATGGAAAGTCATGTGATATTGTACAAATTAATAACTTTTTAGTTTGATAATAAAAAACTAATAGTTACTAGTATTGTACATTATATATACTATAAGGTATCTAATAATAAAATGTATATACCATTGAATAATAATAACACTGTTTACAATAATTAATTTTTTTTTTAAATGAAAATAAAATATAACATTATTCTGACTAAACTGTTTATTTTTTACCATTATTATGTTCGACTAAAAAAGACTATAAAAAATACATTATTATATACATTTCTAAAAGTATATATAAAAAAAAAATACAAATTGATCATATTATAATTTGTCATTAATTATTATGATATTTTGTACATAAAAAGTACATTTTTTTTTTAAGGTATTTATTATATGCTATTTAATACTAATTTTAATTTAATTTTTCTTTGACTTAAAAATTAATAAAAAAAACATCAGTCTTATATGTTTTATACATAAAAACAAATAATTTATATTTACATTGGACATTATAAAAAAACTAAAGCCAATTCAAAAATAAAATTCCCCTACTTAACTACAGTCAACATTAATTAAATAACTTTTGAACGATTTGATCCATCGCCATTTCCCGTTCTCATGTTGTTATTGCGACTTGGCGTCTTGTTTGGACTGTTTTTTCGACTGTCGCCAGTATATGATTTCAATAATTTAGAGCTGTAAAAAAATATTCTATTAGCATGATTTAGGTTTTATATTCCATAAATTTGCTTAATAATAATAAGTTTTATAAAAATCCTTAAAACGTATCTAAAATTATCACGAGCCAAAATATTGCTACAATAGTATTTTGGCATGACCAAACATTTTATAAACAAAAAAACAGATTCAAATATTTTATATGTGTGTTATGCTCATAATATTTTAACTAAATGGATATTTTACTGAAAATATTTACAACAAACAAATAACTAACACGTTTTTATATGTAATCGAGAAAAAGTGCTATTATCACTTAAAGTGGCTCACATTCAAATAATTTAAATCATAAAATAAATTCTGCAGACATTTTTAATTTATTCGACTTATTAGTTTTGAAATATACAACTTATTAGCTTAAGTAGAAAAATTACTTACATGTCTATCAATTTTTTCAATAACCTAGTGAACGAAAGATATTCATCCTCGGAAAACTCATTTGGATCGTAACGTGCATGTTCATAGAAATCGCAGAACTGATGAACAATGTGTTGTCCACTACCGTCTATAAGGACCGCTAAATTATTGAGTAAGTATGAACGCAAGTTCTCATTCGGATGTCGAGTTAATGTTCTATCTTGTTTTATGATTTCATGTTCTATATAAAATTTAAAAAAAATCATACATTAATAAAACAATTAAAAAAATAATAACCCATTTAACATTTGTTTTAATGCCAGAAAAATTACCAAGTTTTTTAATATCATCACATGCTTTCATTCGATAAAAATGTGCTGGTAACGGTTTCTCGTTTGGTTCAGTTGGCGGTAAAATATATTTTGAGCGATCGTCGTCTTGTTGGCTGGCCAAAAGGTTGGGTTCGAAAGCAATTTTCGGGATTACCTCTATGCGACGTTCAATTTCTCTCTTGAGAACCTACACGACCAATTAAAGTTAGAAACATGAAATCTTTTTATAAAAATTACATGAGGAATTACAAAAAACAATAAAAAAATCTCAATATTTAGCATAAAATAACACATATAGGTTACTTGTAGATATCTACGTATCACTATTTTGTAAAGAACTTAACGTTATTCTAAACCATTTTAAGCATTGATGCGAATCTAAAAAGGCATTAATAACATACAAACTTGAGATACTAAAATAATATAGTGTTCTTTTATTTTTAGGAGGCATAGTTTAAAAACAATTGTGTTTGTAAATTTCGGGTTCAGATAGGACAACCGAGCAACACTAGGGAGTAGTTTGGTTTTGGGGCTGATTGATTTTTTCATAATTCAAAAATATATAAGTTTGGTGTATCCCAATTAGACTTTGACAAACAGTTATGGTCCACCTCTATTCTCATTTAATTCTGACGTAAATCAAAAACTTATGTGATAATTTAAACAGTGTATTATTTATCTATCGCAATGCATTTTATTATAAATATTTAATTTTAATCTAAGATATAATTTTTTTTTTACAAAGTATTTACCTTTTTACCATCGTGGCCTATAGGTACATGCGGACCCCTTCTTGACCTTAAAGCGAATCGCATGATTTGTCGTTTTGCAAATATGAATAGCAATATGAAAGTCAGTATGCCGATGGCTATGATTATGACCACCGTAACACCGGACAGTTGCTGTGCCATAGTTGATTGTTTGACGTTTAATAAATAATCACGAGACACGTAGTTGAGTCGACAGTGTATCAAACATATTAAAATATCAAAAACAATTTCCAGTAGCTGACCTCTGTTTAAGGTCGCTATTTATACGTTTTCAAAATACAATTTTACCAAAAAATACAACATACCTCTTAAGTCTAAATGTACATTTGTTTTTCATTTCCTACTTGTTATCAATAACCCGAAGTTTACATGTTATCAAATCTATAGTAATTGATGTTATCACTTGTTATCTTATCACATGGTTTTGTGATACGAAAGCTTGTTTTTACACACAGAGGCACACATTCTCTGTAATGAATATTCTTTAATTTCCGGACTATTAGCATTGATTTAAATACAAGTATTAGCTCAGAAGTTATATATGTTGCTGTTAGAAGTTAGATCTGTCCTGCGGTTAATAGATTAAATCAGAAGTCAGAATGTTTTTTTACGATTTTGTCCGATAACGAGCTAAACTACTCCTAGTGTCACCTCGTAATAAAAACATTTTTATTCACCGTTTTACTTGATATACGGTCATACTGTTGTACAGAATTTCAATCGTTTTTTGGCGGGCAGATACCCTATTATTTTTGATTTTTCTGTGTTACTTTGTTGCTACTTGCTGTTCAATTTTCGACTTTATATTTTTCTTTGAGGTAAGTCGATTACAATGGACTTTTTCCATTAATACTAACAGACGTAAAATAGCCAAATGTTGTTTAAAAAACTGTAAGAGTTTAGAAGTAGATCCAAAATTATTAAGTCACTTTACTTTTCCGAAGTATCTTTCTAGGTAAGTAATTGGAATGTTAAAATAATCAACGTTTATAAAATTGTCAATATAATAATTATTTAATGGTTTGAAATTGTATAGATTTGCTGTTTGGATTACCACATCTAAAAACTGTTGATGTATCAAGTTTAAATAATAAATATAGATTGTGTTCAATGCATTTTGAAAACTGTATGTTTAAAAATGAACAGGAGAACCGTCTTACATCTGATGCTATACCGAAATAATTTGAAAGTATACCAGAGCAACAAATTGTTGAAAATCAAATCAATGATGACCATGAGACTAACGATTGCTTGCCATCATGTTCATCACCAGGTATGCATTTAAAAAAAATATTTTATCAACTATTGTAATTAATAGAATAAGGTTGTCAAAGGTGATTATTAAATTTTTGCTCATAACCTAAGGATAGCTGATTGATGGGTATTAAATAATTGATTCCTGTTAATAATATTATATTAGGATATTTTAATACCTACATTAAATAAATGTCCCGCCTACTAATTAATTATTTTTATTTAAACATAAATAAAGATATTAAAAAATGTGGCTGAATGTTGAGTTTATATATTTAGTTTTAACGTTTTAATTACCTATGGGCTATACCTAATTCTAAATTAAGTAATTTACTTAGTTAAACTATGATAGGTATAAATTTATATTCCACGCATAAAACATATTGATTATAATATTATAAAAAAATATTCAAATGGTTAAATAATTAAACTTGATAATATAATTATATTACAAAATTGAAAATATGTATTTGATTTTTATTCAAGATACAACTACTGGCTATTCAACAATTTTCGTATCGGATGTATCAACATCAACAAATGCAATAGAAATGAGTTCTACGCAATCTCAAACTCCACCATCTCTATCGAATAAAACTCCTTCACTAAAAAAAATACACCACCTGATATTTACATAAGAAACTTTCAAAGTATTCTGGAAGACTATACAACATACCAGATGGTATACACGGATGCCTCAAAATCTGTATAAGGAGTTGGTATTGCAATAATATTTCACAACAAAAAAGTACTCCACAAACTCCCTGATAGATGTTCCATTTTTACTGCTGAAGCAGCAGCAATACTTACAGCCATACAATTAATAAATACTGAAGAAAATTCAAATTATGTTATCTTTAGCGATTCTCTGAGTGTACTAAATGGTATTAAAAATAGATTCAACCCGGGAGATAATATAATCAAAATCCAAAATGAACTTGAGGAAGCAAAGGACAGAACAAACCAGATTATACTCACCTGGATCCCTGGACATTCCGGAATGGATGGCAATGTCAGGGCAGATGAGCAGGCCAAAATCCCTGTAAGGAGTACCGAGGCGTCCGTATTGAACATTATCACTTATGGTGACATCAAAAAACATATCAAAGAGATATCATACAATGAATGGGCAACGATATGGAGACAAAAAAAAAAAACAAACTTAGGGAAATTAAAAGTTCAATCTCCAAATGGCCAAATCATAACCTTAAGAGAATGGAAGAGTCGACCATAAACAGGCTGAGAATCGGACACACGGCTCTTACGCATGGATACCTCATAGGAAAAAAGGAAGCCCCAATATGCCAAACATGCGGTACCAAAGTGACCGTCAAACACATTCTTACTGAATGTCGCAAATACCTAACGCTTTGACAACAACTCAAAATAATCAAACGACTTGACGAATCATTGGGACCGGAGGAAAAGAATACATTTAAAATGTTAAAATTCTTAAAAACAACCGTTCTGTACAATAAGTTATAAAAAAAAAATAAAGTGTAAATAATAGCTGTAATTAATTTTTTAACTAATGACTTATGTTGTCAACGTTTTGTAAAGATCAATAAAAAAATTTAAAAAAATAGTTTATGTAAATAAAAATGTATTTGTTATTAAATTTTGAACTATGTTGTAGTTTTTGTGTTGTACGTATAGAAAAAAAACTAGTACATTAAATACGAACATATCCACGATTCAATGTTTTTCCGTTTTCAAACCGCGTTTATAGTTAAAATTGAATAAGAAATTGCAATTAGGACTAACTACTATACAGGACATGATCATATAGAGCAATAGTCTTGCATTTAATTTGGAATAATAATTTATGCAATGAATGTAAGTAATCTGAACTGATGAAAAAAATAGGATAAGATATTAGAATTTTAAAATTTACCAAACGTGCTGCAGAGACAAATAAATTGCCTATATATTCTATAAATAGGCGTGTAGATAAATTTGTATTCGATTAAAAATAAATATCTAATACTACCCATGAGGCAAAGAATTTTTTTTATTATACTTAAGTATAACACGTTATAATTTGTTATGCATTGCATATCAATTGAGAAACAAAATTTAAATACACTGTCTATAATTTTTGCACCTGTACATTATGAGAAATAATGGAATAATTAGTAAAATTTGTTAAAAAAAAAAAGATTTATTAACTCTTAACTTGAATTTATTTTTAATTGATTTTAGAGTATAACTTTATTATTATTTTTTTTTATAATTTCTTATAATTTTTTTATTAATTGAGAAAATATAGCTTTACAGGATTTGAGATTGTACCTTAAACTAGAAATAATGCAATATGTCAACTGACTTACTGTTTTTAACAAAACAAAAATATCAAAATCCTATCATCTCGCGATGGGCTATCCCTATTTTTTTCATATTACCCATTTTTGTTTTTTTTTTGTTTTTGAGAAAAACACAACTGGGCCAAACGTTGTTCTTTTGCGGTTAAACTAATAACTATTTAAGTACGGTTTACAAATATTGGCATATCGATTTTTAGATGTATATTGGCTGTAAAAATAAACTCATCCCCAGGGCCTTGAGACGTCATAACGTTCGTGTAGGATAACATGTGGACAAATATTCTCAATTATGTAAACATAATACTGTATGCGTGTAACGACTTGCCGTAATCCCCAAGGGACGTTTCATGCAACTTATTACTTAAAAATCTAATATTGACATGCTAGATTATATAAAAAAAATACTATAGTAGGTATACGTGTGTGTGTTCTAGACTGTTAGGTCTTATATATAGGGCTCGAGGTCACGCAACGATCAGGGTAGGCTAAGAGGTATGATACGGCGTATATTTAAACTCCTCCAGTAACTGATGTGTAGGTACTGTTAAGTGAAAAATACTGTCATTAGAAATTGCTCAAAATAAAATGTATACTTTGTGTAGACAACATGAATTACAGAATTTTACATTATTCACGGGCTTGGGATTAACAAGTCACGTGTTAAGTATTTAAGTAAGTATGTTACACGCGAAAATAAGAAAAATACAATATAAAACATCTACAACAAAATTCATTGGTTTTCCTCATGTTGTGTGAAACTGAAAATGTATAATAAAATAAGCTGTTTAATTGAAATAACGTTGTTATTGTTTTTTTTTTTAAATAATAGTATAGTATAGTAATCATTATAACAAACCATGTAGCGAAAATATAAAACATTATATTATTTTATAGCAATATGTTCTAGTATTATAAAAATACATCAGTCATATATTTGCAGGAACACTAATATTAATAACACAAATTTTTCAATAATAATTTCTTAAAATTTTTAATAACCTTTTGTGTTATTAATACCTGCTTATTTTCTGTCAAAATTGAATTTTAAAAATGATTGCAACAATTATCGAAATTTTATAATTTAGTAGGACTTATATTAGAAATGCATTATACATGGCTTAAGCTCTTACTTCCCCATGCATTGGTAAATAGGTTGACTATTGTGTCAACACTTAAGATCCCTAGTATGTGTCTTAAGTAATGTAAATAATGTTAAAATAATAGAAGAAATTCAATAGGCAGGCCCGGATCAAGACAAGACCAATATTTTTCAGGTCTTTCGAAAAAAACCCCATAAACTTTAGATAAAAACTTGTTTAATATTATTAAAATTTTTAATGTGTTTAAACAAAAAAAAAAAAAATGTACAATAATAAATAAAATACTTTGAGCAGACTATAATTCCTTATGAAGATTAAAAGTAAGTACATACCTTATATTTTGTTATAGGTAAAATTTCCAGATAAAGAACTACCAGAAGAGATCAACTAAAAAAAATAATCAAATTTAAATTGTTTGATTAAAATTGAATATCATAACCTATTAACTTAATATTATATTAATATAATATGAGAAAATAATGAATTCCGTAAAGTGGTCAACACATGTTTCTTTGAGACAAATATGTTGCCTAAACGTTATTGAACAGGTGATTTTTTATAAAGTAGGGATTCGTTTGTTTCTACGAAAAATATTTCTAAGGGTTTTAGCACTATGTTTTTTTAATTTATCCGTACAATTTTTTTTAATCACATATGTGCACATTACGCTTTGGGTCTCTATTGGAAACCAAAAAAACACTGGTTAAAGTATGTTTTTTTAAAATGTTTATGCTTTACATTTACACAAAATATTTTCATCAGAATCGTTGTATTGATTTTATGTCAAGCAAAAATTGTACATATATTATGATGTATTAAGTTATGTTGGCTTTATAAAAACTAATAATTTTAAAATTAATTTTTTTTTTTGTCGTTTATGCGGTTTAATCACACAAAAATAAACAAATTTACAGATAGAAAATATTTTAGAATATTAAAATACAATGTAATAATAAAAAAAAACACATAAACAATACTTTATAGGTATAAAAAAAACTTTTTTCTGATAGTGATAAAATAAAATCACTCGTAGGCCCTTTGAATAAGATTGAATTAGAAAAATAATACTGTATATAAAAAATTGTATTACTTAATTTAAAGGTCGTGTAATTAGTATACTTGTTTTATTCTCCCTGCCCTAGTTAATATGTATTATTGCTGTATACACTTCCTCCGCTATTGAGAAAAAACCAGTATATTATATTTATTACATATTATTATTTAAACACAACTACAAACCCAATTAACATACATATATTAGTGGTCATTCGTCATGAAGTATAAATATGGAGCTTGACATTAAAAAATGTATATAATATTGTTATATAATGTCTCATTATTTATTAATTAATTAATTTGACCTGTACAAGTTTAAGTCCTTGCACAAATTCGAATATAATAGACTACATACGTGTATTTAAATGATTGCTGTATAGAAAAATCTACTGACTCAGTTATTAACCATACAACTGGTTTCTTATATTGATACCCGTTTAAAAAATATGTATACTTAAACAAGAAGAGTGGTACCTATAATATTATGTCGTTATAGCCGTTGTACTGTACATATATATTACTTATATGCACCAATTACCTATTTTTACCATCTAAAATATTATGATTTCTTAATTCATGTTTTACTAGCTTTACCAACATTTTCTTGACAGGTTTCTAAAGAATATCTAATATTAACATACAGTGATAAGTTCACTGTGTTCAATCGACACATGCGATATAAACCAAAAGAGAGTAAATAGCCATCTTTATTGGCCACTTATGTACTATTGCAGTAATACATATTTTAGTTAAATCATCATCATTAGTTGTTGGGCTAGGTATTTTTTTTTTTTTACATTTACTAGAACTTAGCTGTCTTTAAATACGTGTACGGATTAAAGTTATGTATGATGATTTTTTTCTATTATTTTACAAATACATGAACATGGTTGATTGATGGGTTTATCGGACGGCCAAACACTCAGCATGTGACCACAGCTGCTTCCTTCCTATCGACTGTGATACATTGATAACTGATAAGTGGTATAAGGCAATTACATGTAATGGAAATCGTGTTTACCGTCCATCGCACGTGTTTGATAGGAAAAAATAATCGAACTGCGGTCAATATCGCATTGTTCTATACAGTACCTAGTGTATTAAATTTAACTGAGCGTTGTATTGTTAAGGTAAAAGCTGTTCTTTGTCCATAAATAGGTACTATATATCCAACAGCGTGTGTCAATATATTATAGTATACACATAACCCAATCAAGTATACAGTACATGTTGAAATTATAGGTACCTAGTAAACAAATTTGGATTTCAATCAGAACAAGTATATTATATTATGCACGGGCGTCCTAACTAGTTTTTCTTTTTTAATAAGGTATGAATTCCGTGAAAGACGTTGCAATGGTAATATTACACATTATTATTATTTAATACAAGCACAATAATATGTACATGAACGGCAAACAAAATATAAAAACCAAATTTTGTTTTTGAATTTATGTTCAATTAAAAAATACTAAAACTCCCATTATTTTATTATGCGTGCCGACTCATATTTAAGATTTTCGAGTTCCGTCATTAAGTAAAAACAAATGCTACAAATTGAACAAAACGATTTATATTCATGCATTATTCATTATTAAAAGATAGGTAGGTACTATTTTTATGTTTAAATTTACAAGAACTAACAAGAAGGTTTTAACTTTTTAAATGAAATAACAATTAACAACGTGAGAGTAAGATAATGTACAGTATTAATTACAGTGGACTACATAAATATAGTTCAAATCCATTTTCCAAACTGAAATCAGCCTATCCCTACCATGTTATTCTGTCATGAAGGTTTGCCTTTTACTTAAGTATACAAATCCTGAGAGATAATAAAGGTCCTAATTTCATACGTTTGTTATAGTAGCATCATTTCAGTTTTTGAAAGGGCGAGGCAAAAGTTTTGACCACCTTATATAACTGGAAAAAACCACTCGCTCGCTGGCTTCCTGCCGGGTCGAGAAAACACGGTTGCAACTACGGACGCTTAAACAGCGATAGGAACTAGCCACTAGAAAACAAGCGAGCGTTTAGTAACGACAGCGGAACGATGACAATCGCTTCAAAGATTAACTCGGCAATGATTCAAAACGTCAACATATGAACTAAAGGCATGGATAGGTACATCCAAAATCATGTACATACACGTGTGAATATTTTATTTCATGAAAGCTTTAAAGCGTTTATAATTTTATACTTGTTAATTTATTATCACAGGCACAAATAGCCCAACATTTTTTGAGAGAATATTGTTAAAAAAAATAACGTGGGGCTAGAAACTTTGATAACTACCTAATGGCTAATTAGTGTTGTATGAACCGGTTTTTCACCAAACTGCTGTTATTTCGTTTGTAAAAGCAAAAAACAGGTATTTGTTTGCTGTTTTCATAACTGCGGGATGCCAAACGATTACGTATTGGCAGATATAGGTTAAAGCTGTTTAAAAAAAGCCTGAAAGCTCATTTAAGTTTTTGTTGTTGGTAGTTATGTGCTAATTAAAAAAAAAACATAGTTTTGGGTAAATACCTTAAACCAAACATTAATAGGTTTAAAAACTCCACTAGACTTCTTTTGCCAAATTGAGTACGGATCATCTATTGTTATATTGTTACATTGATATATTATAGTTTATACTTTTCTTGGTAAGTTTGTTTTTTTTAAAACAATAGCAATTATAAATAGGACATTGTAACGTATGTTATACTTGTTCAAGTTCTACATCGTTTACAATGCATCGGTGATGGAGCTTAGATTCTGTCCATTGTTCGAGTTGAGAATACTTCATAACCTAACTTAGTCCGTTAGCGGGACGTATGTAGGTACGGGCTAAACCCGTAAATGTACCGCCGCTTTGGGTGCTACCGCGCGCGACTGCCGTCGCGGACTCTACTTCCCCATTGTGCGGTGGTGTCCACAGTGCACGATTCATCGTTAAACGACGTTTATCATAGGCCGGCGGCGGCGGCGGCGAGTTTAAACAAAAAAAATCTGTGGATATTATAGCGTTTAGAGGGCCGCCAATTACGGGACGACCCGGCGGTCCGGGAGAAGGCGATGGGCGGGCATAAGGTACGAGGCCTCGCCCACCGCGTTTGGCCCACGTCGGCGTTCCATTGGCCCCCGCCCGGCCGGTACGTCCGTTCGGCACGCCGCCGCAGTGCGCCTCTTCGCCACACGTTCAGTCCGAATCCGTGCGCCGTCTCTTTCGGTCGGTCGTCCGTCGTCTACACCCGAATAATAATAAATTGGTGTTCGCTCTGAAACCAACACAGGCAGACAGTGTATGTGTATTTTGTGTATGTGCGCGACCGTTAGACATAACATAACATATTGTTTGAACAACGTCGATAATAATAATAATAACAATTAGAAATAATATTATTATTGTAATTTAATTATCAAGTGGAAAATAATAACTATGCCGCGCCCTAGCCGTGAATCGTACGGTGACCAGAAGCCGCCGTACAGTTACATATCGCTGACGGCCATGGCCATATGGAGTTCGCCGGAGAAGATGCTGCCGCTGTCGGACATCTACAAGTTCATCAGTGACCAATTCCCGTACTACAGGAGGAACACGCAACGCTGGCAGAACTCTCTGCGGCACAACCTGTCGTTCAACGACTGTTTCGTGAAAATACCGCGGATGCCGGACAGACCGGGCAAAGGCGCGTACTGGGCCCTCCATCCGGCCGCGCTGGACATGTTCGAAAACGGATCGTTGCTCCGGCGCCGCAAACGGTTCAAGCTCGTCAAATCCGACAAAGACAGGTGTGTAACGTATTTCTTTTACTTATTTGATAAATTAAATTTTTAAAAAGAAAATTACATTTTTGAAAATAAAAATCATTTCGAGTACTTATTGTTATTTTTTTTTTCCAGGCTCGATAACGAACTGATTGCTTTGGCCAACAACCTGGCGCACATGCAGCGCAACCATCCCGGTATGTCGCCCGGATCTTCGGCGTCGTCCCGCTGTTCGTCGAGTTCGTCGTCATCGTCGTCCGGCGGGAGTCCGCCGCCGCCGGCCGTCGCGCAAATCGCGCCGCAACCGTCGGCCGCCGTCGCTCCACGCATCGCCGTCGATACGGCCGCCGCCGCGGCCATCACCATCACCAAGCCGGCCGGCAAGAGACCGTTCGACATCGAGAGCCTGATCGGCCCGGACCCGTGCAAGCCAACGGCCGTGACGGCCGTGGACGACGACATTCTGCAACGGTTTCCGGCCATCATGCCGGCCGCTTACCCGTCAAACACGCCGCTCATGGTACCCTACGGGCTGCACCACGCCGCAGCGGCCGCGGCCGCCGCCATGGCCCTCCAAGATCACCACCACCACCAGCTGCACCAACAGCAGCAACAGTATTTCCGGTACGCGTCTTATTTCCCACATAACTGAACTGTAATAATTTAATATGTATTAATAATTTATTTATTAATATTACAAATTAAATATTATGTAAAAATGGTACTCGGCGGTAGAACGTGGTTCGAACGTTTTATGAAAAAAAATTGATCTCGCAAATTTTCGGAAGGAATAGAAAAAAACATTTTTTTTTTTTTTAAAAAACTATAAATTATACATAAATAGAATCGCTTAGATTTTTCCTAATATTATTATTATTATTAAATATTTTAAATAGTTGTTCGAATTTATTATTTGTTTTGTGTGCGTGTGTGTGTTATTTTACGTTTGTACAAAATATTAATTATTATAATATTAATAATATACCCACGGCCATTTGGTAAGCCCGACACGATAACCTCGGAGTTTGTCATTTTCTATACAGCTATATTATTATCATTGTATAGTAGTAGTAGGGTGAAAAGTACTGAATATCGACGAACGTAAATCATATTTATATATACATATTTTGTAGAAACATTAGATCTTAGGCATTATCCGTTATGTGTGTACTGTGATGTAGTTTTTATCGCGATAATAATTGTTATATTTATCGTTTATATAATTTTTAAGTCGGCGTCGACTGCTTGATTGCACAATATTATCATTATTATACATTGTAATAGTACTGGAAAGGATATTTTTAACAATATTATTAAAATAAAACAATAACAGCTGATGTGTTTGTATCGCGCGGTCGACGCTAATATTGTAAATATATTATTGTTTTTTTTTTTTTAAATTATAATTATTTTGTTTTTGAAGCTACTCTGTTACCCCTCCAGGTCATCCTCGTGTAAAAAATATTATTGTAATCCAACGACAATTATTATAGCGCATTGTACATGTGTGTACAACGACCAAAAGTCGAATATAAAAATGAATATATTATTATATAATTAATATATAATATAATAAATGTGCAATTATTGAAAAAACTATACCCGTTTTGTGTGTTGTTATTTTACTTATATTTTACCTCAATTTTTAAGAATAACATGTGTCGAGTTGGTGGTTATAGGAGTTGAGTTTTGTGAAATGGACTAAAGGTAATGCAATTTTTTCTTGCTTCCAAAAAAAAAAAGTAAATTTTTTTTTTTATAAATTTTGAACTTTGTGTTCAATGACGTTAGTTATGTTTTGTATTATACTTTATGATTTTCTGCTATGTATTTTTAGTATGTTATACTAATGAGTAAGTAATGGGATATTAATAGGAAAAGTACAGCTATTCCTATTAAGAGAACTTATTAAGTCAGCGTAGGCATATTTTCCAGATGTTGCCCAATCAAACATTTTTCAATAAACGTGGTACGAATATGGTTTACATTATAATATATGGTGTCAATAAGTAGGTATACAAGGGAAGTATTACTTGTGTACCTAACGAAATCACTCGTCCCTTCAGCATGGTCTACGTTATAATATAGCGGTATCGTTTGCCTTTGAGTTGGGTATTTCAATAGAACACATTATGCCAAGTGGAAGTAATCTCTTGACGGATTAACGTGTGCGCCATACAAATATAAACGTTATACACACACGGGCATAAATCCACGAGTGGTCGCCGGCGTCCCTTTACTTATTTTATAAGTCTTACAAGGTACACGCCTATTATGTAGTGTTAATCGAGCGGAAGAAGTCGCATTCGCCGAAACGTCAAAGAGCATTATTTATTACATAAGATGAGCATTGACTTTTTCAAAAATCTCATATCCAACGTGTATAATAGGTTTGTGTGAGTTTCTAGTGAGAAAGGGAGGCGTATTATACGACCACGAGCCAAATTATTTGGCATTTGTCTCTATGGCGGCGTATAAGATCTGAGGAAATGAAAACAATTCCTTATAGTGTTGTTGGATTTGGTGTAATGCGCGGTTTAACGGTTTTATCGTTTCTGAAATGAGACTTAACCGTCTTATGTTAAAGTAAAGTTTGCGTAATTCATGTAAAACAACACGCGGCAAAGTCTAAAATCGATATACCTACTTGTACCGCTTACTAGACACAAATCTAATGAAAATTTATAACGCTATCTCGAACAGCGATAATAATATTATATTCTAATAGTATTTCATTGAAAAATATAATATTTCCCAATATAATTGCCACAATATTTATTTTTAAACTCAAAATATATTTACATAATATTTTAGCGGGAAATCAAATAACACAAACGTTTCAAGTACGCAGAAATATAATAATGAAATATTTCATTTCAAATCTATTTCCTAAGTGCTATAGGTAATACGAATACAATAAATGTCTATCAGTTATTAGTTTTGTAAAAAAAAAAAAAAAATATATAATTATTTTTCCCCTCTTATAATGTATTTTCATATTGTACGGGTAAATCATGATTTTCTTTTGATAAAGCTAATTTTTCTGGTATAGTGCAAAACCCAGTGACTGTGCGTGCTCGTACATTGTAAGTGGGTAGGTCAATGGCGTAACATCTAATAAAAGCAAAGTTTATATTGGCGTTTGACCCAGTTATCATAATATTGTAACTATAAATATTAGTAAGTACCTACTTGAAAACATTATAATATCGTTTAGTCGCAATAACGGCATAAGAGTTTGTTCGATATAGTTTTAATAGGTTTTTGTTATAATATATATATATATATATATATATATAGTATAAATGTTATATAATGTATAAACCAGTAGGTTTTTTTTATAGCCATTATTAAAAAATATCGGTTTAGTAAAACATTATGAAGTAATTATTTTTCTAACGGAAAATCGGAAGACATTAAATGCATATAGATACTGCCAACATTGTGGAAAAATTGTAGTATAATATTTTAGTTTTAACAGCGCCTAATGTCTATTCTGGCTATTAGGTATAGCAACAGTTGTAACATTAACATGTATTTTCGGCAACAATGTTTTTCCATTATAGAACCACCCAATCTATGTATATTCAATATGTACAACCCATTTTCGTTTTCATAATATTATATTAGTACTGCAGGTACACGGTGTCTCCATTCGATTGAGACAGCAAACTAAATACCGTTTTACACTACTCAACGGCTTAAGTACACATAAATAATGTTGTGCGGTCCGTGAAGGTTGTCGGTTGACAATATCTTGGGGTATATTACTCGCTGTTGACATTCGCCAAAAAACGTTTTAAAAACAATACTATTACCAAATGCTGACAAGAGCTAAATTGTTCTAGTAGTCAGTCACTAGGGTTTTAGCGAATGTTGCAATACGTAGGTACATGCCTCGACAATAGCATAATATACCTAACATGTATTGTAGTTCCCATATTATAATAATTCAAACGGTCAATAACAGTCAACCTATCCACCAAAAAATAAAAAATTCACAACCTGAGATTAAGTTAAAAAACTTATGTGGATAGTCTGAAGATGTTTTAAAGATCTAAATCACTTTGCCCCCCCCTCCTAGTTAGGCCGCTGGTCAAACTAAAATTTATATAAATACAGTTCACATAAGTACAGCTGTCTATAAGTTAAAAAATTTAAACCGTGGTTACAAATCGCGTTCCAATCAAGTCTGCTTGGAGCATCTTATTGTGATGTTTTTTTTTAGTATATTGTGTACACACAATATTATAAGTAATACCTAACCGGACTGGGTTTAAACTGTACTGGTTTTTTTTACTGCGCGGTTTTATGTATTCTAATAAAGCGTTGTAAACTACTCCAGTACTAAATATTTTTTTCATTATGATATATACCTATAGTCTATTAATAGTAGTTCAAGTAGATATAAAAATGTTATTTAGGTATACCGAATCAAACCAAATAATCAAATGATTATGGCAATTTATATTCAATTCAAAAACGTACTAAATTTTTCAGCTAAATCTATAAAACGTTATTTCAATATATCATGCGATCCGGTTTCTCTTATGGAGTTTATATATTATAAAACGTTGCCATTGACATTATACGCTGTCACATTATTATTATTATTATTATCTACAAGACCTAGGTGCATCGTTTATTAGCGGCTACATAATAGCATTGAATGCAACATCCAAGTCGGTAGCTATAACTATGATCTGGTAAGTTGTACCTTATGGAGTTTAGACGTTTTATTTTTTTACAAACATATTAATCCCATCGAAGCGTGTGTACTTGTTTGAATAAAACCTGTAATCTGTATGCAATGTGAAACATATGCGGATTTGTCAAAAACGATAAATCGCTATATAGTTTTTACCAAACGAGTAAAATAAAAATAAAACATTTTTACCTAGTATATACTATGTGTATATTATTATCGGTAGTTAAACATTTTCGTCGTGTTGGGTACGTCTAAGTACGTTTTTGGACATGTAATATATTAATGTCGACTAGAGCGTGGATTTTATTTTTTCAAGTCCGCTGTTTAGTATATATTTCTATGTATCTCTGTATCTCTCGCTCTCTCGTGTTGTCTGTCTTTGTTTAAAACTTGTTAGACGCCGACCGTGTTGAAAATCTTTTGTCGTTACATAAGAAGAAGTCACGGAATAACAAATGGACGGCTTGCTCGGTTTTTGTGTGTTTGTGTCGTTTTATATACACACACACTACCATTCAAACTATAAGCGCAATTAGAGGAGGGGTTGGATGTATAAACAAAAATGAGCACCTTTCAAAAATTGTTACTGTTTTCGGTGTTTAAGCGCAGTTGCATTTTTTAAGCGCCCCCGTTGAAGACTACTGTGCTTTAGGTTCGAGGATACTTGTCATGTCGGAGACCAGTCTGTGGGCGGACAGTTATGGGAAAAAAATCTTATCAAAATAATTAAGATAATTAATACGAACGACCGTAAATGTTACATGTTGTACATTAGCCACTGCACTGTGTGCTTAACGTATCAAACAGTCAACTAGAAAGCAAATTTAAACACATGTTAGTGTACCTAGTGAACTAGGACTGAAAATTGTATAGCGGAGGAAAGCAAGCCAAAGTATATGCGAGAACGTCCCAAACTATTTTCTCACTTCATAGATAGTAATTCTGACTTACCTACTTTTGTTTTATTTCATTTTGTTCTACTGTTTTTTTTAGATTTTTTATCGGTTAATTTACGAATTGAGAATAATAAAAGGTGTCGCGAGCGATCAGTGTGAAATTTAAAATGTGTTGACTATATACTACGAGTATAATAATCAAAGTACTTTTAATAAATTCATATTTATTAAGCTGTAGGATATTTTTATCTCGAAACAGTTCTGTGTACTTTGTTTTAAATGAAAGTTATTTTTAAAAAAAAGTTGCCGCTACTACTTTAAAAAATAATAGTTCTGTAACAAACTTATTTCTTTAAAGTATATAATATGTATATTTGGTAAGGGTAGGAACTATGATCCCATGAGAAGGATGGGGGTTTGTCGAATTTTAGGTTTTAAGCTTTAAGGCACCTTCACCATACGATTTGTGGTCAATTGATGTACTACTCAAGTAAACCAATCCAAGCATCGAGTAAAACGTTTAACAGGAATATGTTTTTTATGACTAAGGGTCAGATTAAAATTTGCGTAAAGCCTCCCTCCCCTCAATACACGATCAAGCTATTTGCACAACTACTGTGTTTGTGCAAACATTTTGATGGTGTAAGGCACGGATTGACTAGTTGCACAACGGTTTGAAAGAAATCGGTCGATATCGAAGTACGTTTTGCAAAACATTAGCGCTTGACATGCAATTTGATCGTCTATTAATGACAGTGATTGACAAACATTACCATTGAAAATATCATAGATAACAATTTAGAAGATATAAATTGATGAGTGTGTAATTACTTTATAAGTGTTAATTTATTAAGCGTACTCTAGGTTTTTAATAACAATGGTGACTGTAGATGATGACGAAAAGGATTTTGGCGTGATTCGTTGCTGTTTATTGTGAACTGCCCGAACTGTGGAAAGTAAAAATTGATGTGT